CTTGTTTCTCCAGGCAGCATTTCCATCCTCTCCCTTTCACAGGAACTGGCTTTGAGGGACAGGCTGAGTCTAGAAAAAAACTAGAAAGACTTAATGAAATAGCAAAGGCAAGAGGCAGAACTAAGTAAAAGCAGGAGATTATTTTCCCGGTGTGGATCAGTTGGTTTCGACATTTGTCAGAGCACTGAGGAGGCAGAGATGAAGAGAGCTCAGCCAGGGACAGGCATGTGCTAGGTGTCTAGTGAAGACATTTAGTTTCATGCCAATGTAAATATTTTAAGGGAGTATGACGTAGGTGAGAAAGCAGGATTCGCTGACCCTAAATCAACAAATGGCCATCAGTTTTCCTTCCTTCCTTTCCACCCTTATAATATCTCTATGCCAGCCTCTAGCAAATCTTATTCTGCCCAGTTTACCCTCTCCTCTTCAAATCCCTGTCCACAGGAAATGGTGGGTGTGGGAGGCATGTGGAAACAAATTAGTTTGGAAAGCAAGTGCAAAGTCAGCATTTGAGAATATTCTGTTGGGGGAAACTGTGTCTGCAGCAGGGGCTGGAATGCAGGGAGGAGTGCTGGCTCCCTGAGCCCCCATGCCCAGGACTGCCAGGGGACAGGAGCACACAAAGATGGTGCTTGGCACCATGCAGAGGGAATCTATGAGAATCTATGGGAATATTTGAGAATCTATGAGGCGCAGAGCTTTTATTTGGTCTCAGCTCTCAGCTGATTGCTTCTGGGCCACAGCTGATTCCTTGGAGTACGATAGCTGCTGCAGGGCCTGCTCACTACTGCTGTGCTTTTGCCACCTCTCAAACACCTCTGCGGTTCCAGTCTACATGTCAAAGGGGAATTTTAGATCTCATCTGGGGTCCCAGACCTCAGGTTACACTGAGCTTCTGAAGAGCAACTGAAGAACAAAGATGAAAAATCAGCAAGTTAATAGAAAACAATATAGCAAATAAGCTTCCAGAAGTTTCTAAACCCAGTATTTTTCAATACAAAACAGTTGGCCAAAATAATTTCTAAAACTTCGTCAGCTCCACTAAAGTTATTTATTTATGCTTCACAAGCAATAAAAGAAATTATTTTTAACATTGTAAGAACCATGTACAGAGGGCCATTTAAGAAGCAAACACATGAAAATGCTTTCAGTATTTCTGAAGAATATCCTGGCATAAGTATGCACATTCAGAAACAAGGAAACATCCCTCTACCTCAAGAATTTAATCAACTCACTGTACTCACATGTGTAAAGGACTCAAATGATCACTATTTCATAGAGGTGCCATCAAAATCTTCTGTAATATTTTTGGTGTTTATAGCTAAGGAACTTGACACTTTATAAAGATCAGCCTCCTCAAAAAATTTACAATTACATTATACAATTGTACAATTTAGAAATGGACCAAATAGATCAGCTGAGATCTGCCTATCCAGCAACAAGAAAAACCCCATATTCATACAGCAGACCCGATTCCATAGTAATAATATTATGAACTACAGAAGAACATACTTTATTCCCATTTAAAATGGGTTTTAAAAGTTTTCTCTCAAAAAATTGCCCATTTCTTAATCTAAGATAACATGCTTCAGTGCATTGCAAGGCTCCCTACCATGAGGCAGGCCTAAAGCAGACTCATATCCTTCCTTCATATCCTTGACTTAGAAAATTCCATGAAGGTAGAGTCTGTATTCCAGAGTATTTTCCCTAAACTATAATCAGGAAAGGCACATTTGGTTCAAGGTAGTGATGCATATATATAAGTTTTCCTTGCTCCTGGGTGGCTTCTAAAAATATTGAATCTGGAACCTGAGCACTTCCTTTTCTGATGTAATTTGAGAAAGCAAGTTTGTAAAGGAGTGGACTATACCAATTGTCATTAGTGTTGATGACATGAACTGCATCTGTTAGTGAATCCATACATACAATTACTGTCTTCAGTAACTCTGTAAGTAGCGATGTAGAAAGAGATGAAGGTTTTCCAATGAACAGCATCAGCTATTAAATAAAATTGTGTTTGATTGTGTCCAAACCAACCGTGGAATTTTCCTATCCTTTTAAATCTTGTTTCATCACAGCCCAGAGAATAAATTAATCCAAGACTTTCTCCAAGTAACCCTTCATAAAATTATCTACAAACTCACCAAATAAAAGCTTGTCACGTACATTTTTCAAAGTCAGCAGAAGCTTACAGCCTTTTAGGTTAAAATTATTTTACAGCTACTTCTGTGAAGCAGATTAATCACAGTTTATTCAACACAATAGAGATTTCACTTTATTACATACCTGAAGCACACTCTGTAAATTCAAGTCAAAGGAACACTTTGTCCAATACTAAATGGAAATAAATATTTCAGCTAAAAATCTTTTGCTTTGATTTATTAATTATGGGTTCTAAACTGAGACTTTGGCTTCCAGAAAAATACCTCCTTTGGTTATCCACCTACTCCAGTGTGGGGTCTCCCAGGCTACAGGTCTCATGCACCTCCAAGCACTGCAGGGGCACAGCTGCTCACCATGGTCTCCACTAAGGGAGAGCACCAGGAGAATCTCTGCTCTGGTGCCTGGAGCACCTCCTGCCCCTCCTTCTGCACTGACCTTGGGTCTACAGGGCTGCTCCTCTCACACGTTCTCACTTCTCTCTCAGGCTTCAGGTTGTCTGACAGAATTCAATGACAACTTGCCTGATGTTAATCCCAAGCAAAAAAAAAGTGCACGTTCTACAAGGGATCTGATTCATGCACAACAAGAATAGCAGGGGTTTTTCCCCATCTCAAATACATCATCCCAGAGGTGCTACTGCTATCATTGATGGGCTGGGCTGTAGCCAGCAGTGGGTCCATCTTGGAGCCAGCTGCCATTGCCTCCACTGGACATGGGGGAAGCTTCCAGCAGCTTCCTACAGAAGCCATCCCTGTAGTGCCCATGAAGGCTCCTTGCTACCAAAACCTGGGCACACAAACTGAAATGCAGTGGTTTAGAATGATAAGCACTAATCAACCATTCATTTCCATTAGAATGCAGGAGTTAATTCTGCTTATGTCTGGTAATTATTAATTTAAAAGGACAGAAAGAAAGTGCAGAAAAATATTGGAGCATCTAAAAAGGTATTAGGAAAAGAATATAAAGCAAAATCTGAAAAGTTACATTGCTGAATTCTTTCAAATACTTCACTAGAAAATAGAGTGTGCTTTTTCTTCTGATTGCAATTTCTGGATAAGAAATAAGCTATTAAAATTGTAATAGCTAAAAAGCTTTGTACAAAATATTCTTTTATATTGCTAGGACCTTCTCAACTTTTGTACTCTGGCCTTCTGAATTCTGTTTATTTCTCGACATTTTAGAGGACTGCCAATGTGATGTGATCAGAATTAAATCAGAATGCTAGAAAAGTTTGAAAAATATTTAACCTTGCAACAATACAGGACCTTATTGAATATTATGAGGCAGAAATAGCTGCAAATACAAAAATGAATCTGTTGTCATAGGCAGGAGACATATAATATGAAGCCTTATTTTTAAAATACTCAGTTTCTTACTTGTGTGCCTGTGTTGAGTTCTGTTTCATAATTCATGTATTTAGTTTTGCAACCCAAAAAAAAGAAGAAAAAATAATTTCCATTTTACATCTGTTCATTGAAGAAAATTAATTGGATTTTGACATTTTTTTGTCTGCAGCTAAATACCACAAAATAGCTGAGACTGGAAGGATTGACTTCATTTTCCTGTATAGCTCATAGTTTCCTCAACCCTGTTTCAGCTGAGGAAAGCTATGTTTTTGTACATGGTCTAGGAAAAGAAGCACAAGGAGAGAAAGGGTGATATCTTCTCCCTCTGCACTTAGTGAGGGTACATGGTGAGCTCAGGGGTCCTGATCTGATGAGTGTTCTGACCAGACCAGGGGCTCCTTGACCTACTGACAACAGCTGTGAACATACAGCATCAGGTGAGGTTTAGACTGCATATTTAAAAAACTTTCTTCACTGAAAGGGTGGTCAAGAATTGGAAGAGATGGTGGAATCACCATCCCTGGATGAGTTAAAAATAATGTGTAGATGTGATGCTTAAGGATATGTTTTAGTGGTGGACCTGACAGTGCTGGGTTAAATGTTGGGACTCGATCACCTTAGAGGTTCATCTTTCACTAATGCATTCAAGTCCTTTTTGAATGCATGCACACTTTCGCTATCTTTACCAAACATTTCTGTGTAAAGATTCATTGCCATGAGTTCTTCTTCCCTAGAGCTAAATATAAAATCCCCCCTAAACCATTGCACAGCACTGTACACAACCAGTAATGAAAACCAGAGTACATGGAAACCCTGATGGGCATTGCTGTGAGGGCTTTCTCACGGAAAGCAAACACCAGCGACTGGAGTTTTGGGCTGCAAAGCAAACACAGAACAGGCTGTGCCTCCTGCCAGCCCAGGAATCCAGGGCTGGTGCAGTTCAGGGAGGTAACGTGTGATATCACTGCTGGACGAGACTGTAGGCAAAATACTCTGAGAAGAAAGAGAGGAGAGGGGAGAGGAGGAAAGGAAAAGGGAAAAAAAAAGGAAAAAAGGAAAAAAGGAAAAAAGGAAAAAAGGAAAAAAGGAAAAAAAAAAGGAAAAAAGGAAAAAAAAAGGAAAAAAGGAAAAAAAAAGGAAAAAAGGAAAAAAAAAGGAAAAAAGGAAAAAAGGAAAAAAGGAAAAAAGGAAAAAAGGAAAAAAGGAAAAAAGGAAAAAAGGAAAAAAGGAAAAAAGGAAAAAAGGAAAAAAGGGAAAAAGGGAAAAAGGGAAAAAGGGAAAAAGGGAAAAAGGGAAAAAGGGAAAAAGGGAAAAAGGGAAGGGGAAGGGAAAGGAAAGGAAAGGAAAGGAAAGGAAAGGAAAGGAAAGGAAAGGAAAGGAAAGGAAAGGAAAGGAAAGGAAAGGAAAGGAAAGGAAAGGCAAGGCCCGAGCTCGCGGCGCCCGGCGCTTTGGCGCCCCCTAGCGGCTGTCCCGAGCACGCGGTGGCAGCGCGAGCCCCGCCGGGTTTGGAACCTGGTGGGATTCAGGCAGAGGACGGGAGACCTGGAAAAACACTCTCAGTTTTGAATGGTTTTTGTAACAAAGCTTTACTGGACTCAAAGCTGAGCCTAGTCTTTGCTTCTAAAGGCTAGTTTTTGACTTTGTCCCCCTGACGAGGATAGCCTGCCACAAGCACAAAACTCAAAACTGTCGGATCAGATGAGGCTCGGGAAAAGCTGAGGCGATGGAGGATAGCACATGGATAATATATGGTTGTGAGCCCCTGTGATACCGGTATTAGCAGCCTTCTGTCTCACTGGGAATTGCACTGGAAATACACACGTGGGTTTGTCTGCTTGTGTGTGAATTCTACACACACAGACACACACAAAGCTAAAAATTGAAATGATGGAGGAAAAAATCTTTCTGTAATTAAAGGACCATTCCCTTTTATACTTGTATCACATCTTTGTACGATTCTGAATAGAACAGTGCCATTTGCACTGTTCTGTATAAGAAATATTCATTTAAGCATGTTGTAAAGTAAAAACTTCTGTTTGATGAATATAGAACATGTCAGCAAAATCTGTTTCCACTGAAAGCCATAGATGCCTTTCTTTCCTCAATTTTAACTCAGTTTGCAATAAGCTTCTAAATGAAGTGCATCCTGCCTTTATAGATCAGAACACCTGGCAGATCAATACCCAGCTTGGAAATGGGTGTGCAGATTTCCAGTGCCCCTTCTGTAAATAACTTACATTTTCTCTACAGCCATACCAAGAGAATCCCACAAAAGACTTCTCCCATGCCAAGGGATTGTCTCTTCTGGCTTCTGGTTTGGCAATGGGGACAATACAGGGCATACCTCAGAGGGAGACATGTGAAACAAAATTAAAGTCATCAGAAATGTTTCTTGTAACCAGAATGGCCAAATAACTAAACAATTTGAGTTCACCAAACTGAGATTTACAAGTTGAAGACATACTATTGGAAAAAGAAAACAAAAGAAGTGCAGTTTTTTAGCATCACAGATTACGTGTCTTTTAATGGCAACTTCTCATAGTTTGAAATATTCCTGGAATAGATACTAAGTACAGTTGAAACACTGAACTGATCTCTCTTAATAAGCATATTAAGACACACTACATGTTTCGTTATAGTTGAAACAAGACTGTTTGGGAAATAACCAGCTGAATACCAGTCCTAAATATATGGCCACATAAATCTTACGCTATTTTATGACAGTTGGGAACCATGAGATGAAAATATGAAACATAGGCTCCTGGAAAAAGTTTAAAGTCCTTGAAAATTCTCTGTGTTTAACTAAAAATTTGTTTTCCCAGTTTTTTTGTTACAAGGGAAAAGAGCCTTTGAAGACAATAGCCATCTATCACACAGAAAATGTTCTCTTGTCACTGCTGTATTTCAGATACGCACCAGGAGGCTGCCAATTAATCTCTAGCACTCTGATGTTCTAGGCATGTCCTACATTTAAAAACAATGTCTATTTGCAAGAATGAATCTTTAATCCCTAATTATCTTTTCAGGTCTATCTCCTTTAAGATTTGTTGCTGCCGGCTAATCTAGCCAATGCTGACAATGGGGAGATTAAACCTCATAATTAAATGCAGTAATATCTGCCAGCACAAGTCTGCAATCTTCATTTGCCACCTTCATTTTTAAGTAGGCATTCTAAATAGGCCAAAAGCAGCCTCTGGGTGTCAGTAGAATATAGCTATATACATCCAAAGTACCTACTTGGACTCCTGCTCACAGGCTTGGACCTGGTTGTCAGAACCGAGGCCACACCATCAGTTTGAGGCTTTCATTAAAGCCATTACATTTCCATGAAATTTACCCACAGGCATTCTCCAGTAGGATTCTTGTGCCATAGGCTGAGGGCTCTTTCTGACATAAGAGCCCTAATACACTGACAACATCCAGACTTGCAGTCAGAGTTAATCTCCTTTTTAAGCTCCAGTGCTTGCTAATCTTAGTGCAGAAGCTCTTAAGCATCTACCTTTATAAGTCTGCTGGGTCCAGGCTGCTGTTCAAAGCAGTTGCATTCCTAATAAGGCTGGTGTGAGGGCAGGTTGAAGAGGGTGTACAGACAATTTCTTCACCTCTAATTTCAAAGACTGCAGTGTCTGACAAAAACAAACCCCCACACTGTGCTCAGAGAATTCAGACTCCCCAAAGAGCAGGACCTATCTCCTTTCTCACAATGCCTCTACAAAGCATTGTATATTTTACAAGGTATCTGTGATATTTTTCCTCAAGCTACTTCCTACCATGCTTCTCCTGTAAGCCTACCCATAAGGATAGCTCTCAGTTTCCCTCTAGCAGAGAGGAAACCTGCTTTTAGCAACTTTAGCAAGTTTAGCAACTTTTTGCCTCCAACTGTTAAGGCTAGACCAAACCACATACTAGAAAAATACAAGAAAAGAGGAATCTTTTCTCCCCTTTAACTTTGTAACATACCCTATGAAAAGCTTTGTTTCCTCCTATGGCTACATAAATCTTTGGGAAGAAATCCTAAACCATGGTGGTTCTGAATTGATGATGATTTCTGCTTGTTGTATTAATGCTTGGTTAAAATAAAAAACAGCAAAGAGAAAGTTAATGGAGTTTTTAACTATTTTCATCCCACATGCTACTACGGAGCTGAAACTGAAGCAAAGATGAGAAATACCATGCCTAGCTGCTACAGATTTCATGCCAAGTTCCAGAAACATTGTACTGACAATATTCACATTTTTATTGCTATTATTGTATTTTTACTGACAGAAATTCAAAGAATCATAATCCTTAGTTTTATATGTGCTCACACAACTTAAGCTGGTTTTATTCATTACCACATGATTGTTCACAAAGTGAAAGCCACTAAGAATGAAAAACATAAGATCAGGCCCATATATCAAAAAATTAAAACTGCAAAGGTTCTATGAAAAGCTGTAAGTTTTCTTTGAAAAAATGTTTTCATTTGTAGTCAATTGTGAAATAGACAATGGTAGAGTCAAAAATGGATTATGAAATACATTGACTGAAAATTAAATATAAAATTAGTCATAGTTCTTGAATGCCACTATCAGCCTTACTTGTATAAAAGTTGGGCCCTGATGGTATACAAAACTTTATTTATACATTGAAACAATTGTTCTCTTGCCTGATAAGGAATATAGAAAGAAAAACATTCTGAAAATTTAATTTAAGATGAAGTCTTTTTCCAAAATATTATGATAAAAATGGTACCTTTTTTTTTAATAAAATTTGCTGAAACTTCTTCTATGTTTATATATGTGGAGAGAATAGAAAGATCACATTCAAAAATCAGCATTACATTTCTTTTTATGTTTTTTTCTGCTGGTTCTGAGATTTTCTTAGAGGCAGTTGAATAAAAACTGACAAACACTCAGCTTAATCCTTTTTCTGAAAACCCAGTTTTTCTCAGGTCTTTCTTTCTCAAGCTGGTGCACTATAAATGCTGATATTTCACAATAAAAATGAGTAATTGTATTACAGAAATATCTAATGAAGTTTTAGGACTGAACTGTTGAAGTGAACATGAAAGGTGTTTATGAGTGTTGTGATACATCATTCCACATAATTGCAAGGAGAGATATGTTTATGCTTTCATATGTTAATGGAAATATGGATAATTGGTTCTCCGAATTTTCATTGAAACTGATTTAATTTTGACTGGTTTTTTGTTCATTGTCCATGTATCCCAGTGAATCCCAGTTGCAAGGAATCTACCTGTGTAGCGATGAACACCATTAAGATTTGCAAGGCCACACTTATTGAACCACCATCCAGTGTTGTCACTGAAGTTACTGCAGCTCTTTACTGGCTGTCCTTTAATAGTGCACATTGGCCTGCATCCATCATTATCAACATCAAAAGTGCTGAAAGGCATGGAATTTTGGTTATCTTCTCTTCTATATCCTCTAAATGCATCACCTAAGTGCAATAGATAAAACAAAATAATAAAAAAGTTATTTCCAGAGAAATGTTCCTTTCTTGATGCACACCTCACAAACTTTTCCTCTGAATCTATTTGAAAAGTAGAATTTTTCAGAAGTGGTTCAAGAGCGCCAGCTAATGAGTTGTAAAAGTGCTAAAGATGCTGGAAATAAAAGAATAAAATACTAAGAAATATGGAAGAAGCTGGAATTCAGTGAAACGCCTTTGTATTTTTGTTGCTTTTAGCAATGCATGCTGGCTATGAAGGTAAAGGCTTCTGTTCTCAGAAACAGAGGAAGAAGAAAGTAAACAAAAAGGGTTGTAACTTCAGATTTTCCAGTAACGTGCCCAAAGCCCCAGAATGAGTCATGAAACAAGATTGAATTGTTAAATCACAAAGGTCAGTTATTACTGTCTTTGTTGTCTTACAAAACAAAAAGAAAAAGAACCTACTGAAGTAACAGTATTTTTCACAAATACAGAGTAAAGCACAAACACCTTTAGAGAGCAACTATTTAATTGATAATAAGAGCCATTCTTGCATAACGTGGAAAAAACCAGAAAGGCATGAGGCAATGCTTAATGCAAAACTCTGCACGCGTAGTGTATTTATGCTGTTAAGGGAGGTCTGGAATTAATTTGTATCTATGTATACCCAGCAACTGTTACACACTGTAGGCCAGCTTTGCTCCACTCTGTTTCTTTCTCTATCCTTTGTACATGACTATCTGGGCACTTCTGAATTATATAAAGCATCATCAGGCACACTGCCAATAACATCCGTGCTGAGATAATAGTCATTTAAATAGTCATGTACCATTAGGTAAATAAACTTAATTGTACATTAGGTAAATAAACACTAACACCCAAAAAAACCCTTATTTATTTTATATATATCTCATTCAGTTTACTTTTTTTTTATTATTACAGGCATAAGTGATCACCGCAGAATTAAAATTTTATCTGCATAAGTGTTCATTATGTACCAGAGAAAAACACATTAGAAATAAAATTTCTGAAGTTTATTATTTTTTGAATGCATTTTTTTATATTAAGAAAGGGAATTTTTAAATACTTCAAAGAAGGAAGTTCTTACCAGCATTTCCTGAATAATGCCCCAAATGGATCTTAAAAGAACACGCTTCATCCTCTATCCAAAATCCATCATATGATGCATAGGCATGCTTGTCATTTTCTGATTCCAGATCCACATAAAGACTGAAATGAGTGGCTTTTTGATTCACTATGTCAAAAATCTTCCTCAGTCCAAGCCAAAATTCTCCTTAAAGAGAAATATAATATATAGTCTAGAAATGGAAACTGTACAAGAAAAAGTGATTGCTCCTGTTTTTTTGCTTTCCCACCTGAACCAAATGTAATAAAAGTTGCATGATTGGCTTATATTCCTCTGAAAGACTAATGAAGGAACAGAGTAATCTTCCTACTTCCTTAGGAAATCCCTCAGAATTCCCATGTGTGTATCATCTTTTTTTTCTCTGTGATATGTTTTAGAAGATTGTCCAGATGATAGATTTCAAATATTCATCTTCAATATATCTTAGAAAACCACAAAAACTTGATGTGCTAAAGATCCACTTGCATGAACAGAGCTCAGTAGCACTCCTAAGGGCAATACTGAGAAATGATAAATGTTAGCATCCTATGAAATGCAAAAAAAATGCAAACCCTATTCTTGAAATTTAAGCCCTGCTCTCGAGACTTGCTGCCTCCGTAAATCACACTTGTAGCCCCATATGAGGTGCACTTCTTTGTACAGAAAAGCTGCGTGCTTCCATTGCAATCCCAGATAAACTTCTGAAAAAGCCAATGGGTTTAGACTTGTGGGATATTAAAGGTGGCAATGAAAAATTAATATCACAGTTGTATTGGTATAAGCTACTGAAATATTTCCATTGTTTATAACTTTGCATGCCCTATGGTGAAGTATTATTGAGTCTGTTCTAAGGAAATACTTTGCAAAAGTGATTCAAACCAACAAAAACACTTTTTTTTAAGCTGAAAAGAGAGGAAATAGAAGCTATAAACTATTTCAAGCAGAAAACATAATATTTTAAACACTTTTGTGAGACTGCAATACCTAAAGACTATAGTGGAGTAATAGCCACTATTGGGAAGATCACACAATAGGTTTGATGAAAAAAAATCCTTAAGTGAAAATAAGACTTTTAAGAAGCAAGAATTTCATACTACTAAAACTACTGCACAAATTAAGAGGACTGTAGCTCACATAAAAGCAGTAGAAATGTGGGATCCAAAGCATTTTAAAGTATTTAAAATTAATACCATTAAGGTCACCAAATCCATCCAGATATTCTGACCATGTTCTCTGAAACTTAACGATTCCATCAGTTCTTTTCTGAACCACAGTCCATCCACCTCCTCGAAAATCCATGTCACACAAAACCTAAAACAGACATAGACACGATTAAGCATTCTTGAAGCAGCTTTTATGAAAAACACATTTTAATTAAAGAAAGGCGGAATATTCAGAGTTTTGCTAAGTAACATACTTTTCAAATATCTTTAAAAAAAAGCTCTAAGAAAGTAAAAAACAAGCTGCAGTATTTTTTTATATGTTCTTGTTGAACATTTGGATTTGGATATATTTGGATATAATATAACATAACATAACATAACATTCTCACAACAGATATAATAAATAAGCTTTGGTAAATGTCACTGTAACATTTATAGCATGAAAGGGAAGCAACTTGCAATGTCATGTATTAATCAGGCAAAATATCATCAATACAGGTAGCAACACTGAATGAACTTTTATTTCAGCAAAGCAAAATAGACACAACTTCTTGTATGCTCTCCATCACCATCATGCCTTCTTCCAGAAAATACTGTGTTTGTGATGCTTGGGAAATTTAGAGCCTTTAATAAAGGGTGAGGAAATGGAAAACAGTGATAGCAGTAACCCAGCATGTAACAATAATTTGCAGCAGCAAAAACCTCTACATAAGAAGTGGCCCCAATCCAGGCAAGTCCCAATGTGAACATATAACTGCCTGCAACTGAGCAGCACCACTGAATACATAAGATCAGCTCTCAAATTTATGAGTCTTTGTAAGTCTTTGCTAAAATTTGTGCCCAGCAGTATGTCAAATGGCAGGGGTCCAGCTGCCATCTGCTCTGTTTTGGAATATCACATTAAGTAGCACGTTTTCTCCTCAGCCCATCTAACTTAAGATGTGTAATTGACTTTCCTAAGTAGATCTGCAGTGCCAAATCTTGATCAGTTCTAACTGGGATTATAATGTCTGGGAACCTAATGTAGAAAGATCACATGGCACATTTATACACTGCACCACCTAAGATAACCAAGGAAGTTATAAGGGATAGTATCCATAATTAGCATTTAAAAGTAGGAGTTCATTTTTGTCTCCAAATGTGACTAATATCAGGAGAATTAACCTGCAAAATGCTTAAAGTTAGTGAGCCAGTAAGCTTCTTGTAGTAACAAAAGTATTTTCAGAGCATAATGTTGCTCTGATAACATTAAGCCAATGCACAAGTGATGGAGTAAAGAAATTTTTTTTTTATGTTACAGGAAATGTACAAAATTGAACGTTTCAGAAAAGAGAGATTTGCAGTCTTAGCCAGCTGATAAAAGTGGAAATTAGGTATAAGTCAGTTAACCCTCAAAAAAAATTGTGGCAGGCTGAGAATTTTATGTTGCACCTTCATTGCCTGTAGTAGCTAGATATTTTTCAGGAAACCAGACTTGCTCCTTAGCAGACAAACATGAACATCATAGTCAAAGCCTCTGTGATTTAACAATGTCTTCTCAATGAATGACAAGAAAGGAACAGGACAGAGCTGCAATTTGATCTAATACAACCTTCAAGTAAGATACTTCAGGCAATTCTTGCAAAACAAATACTAAATGAATCATAGTAAGGTTCATGTGCATGAAAAAAAACTGTGACTTTTATTCCCTGGACAATCACATGCTTATTTCAGTCACCCAAGGAGGACAGAAATGGAATAAAAAGAACTATAGAAGATTCCAAAATGAATATTTAGATGAAAATACCTAAACCTTATTCAAAATAATCCCATTGCCTCATCCACTGTCTTGAGAAGATGATTGCATGCTTGGCTACTCCTCTGACTATGAGTCAGAAATATTATGAGGAGCCCACTTGGTCACAACATGAATCTTCAGTTCAATATAAATCAGTGGAAGTGTTGATAATTCACAGAAGAAGCAGATATAGACCTACTCGAGAGGTGATCAGCCAGTTCAACACAGTACCAGCACATACACCAGCTAAATAAAATAGATAGAGAAAAATACAGTCGTAGCTGTGTAGTTTTCTTAATCCCTTATGGAAATGTTGCCATTGTAAAGCATTATAATAGTTAATCTGCTTTACAGTTTGCTCTGTGCCTCATACCATGAAAGGAATGATAGTGCCAGGTACAACCTAAATTAAATGAGAAGGAGGACACTTCTACTGAATATTTCTTCCCTTTCCACTTGCAGTGTGTGTAAGAGGTATGCTCTAAACAACAGTTTAGTTTGTCTGATCCAGCTGAGAAATATCATTGATCAAAATTTACTGAGTGAAAAATGTATCAGAAACTGGACATGGTTCATTTTTCCAACAGTGAAATTGGTTTTAATCACTTCATGAATAAATGTTCAGGAAAAAGCCTATTTGAGAGTAACTTCCTGAGGTTACAGAAACCTGCCAATACCACTAAAGCTAGATATTCTTATTGCTCCTGGAATTTGGAGTTCAATTAGCCCAAGTTAAGATCAAAATATATACTCACTTTTGGAAACATGAGGTATCAAACTTGAAAAATAAGAATGGGATCACGTTGTCTAAATAGTTTTTATTTAACTGATATCTTTATGCATATTATTCTAAATACATTTTTCATTTAGGTTCTGTTGCATAAAAAGGCATCTTATTGCTGCAAAGGTCCTCATCAAAATAAATTGTTTCATGTTGTGTTTGTTTCCTGTTTTTCAGTTTTGTCCTATGGATTTCTGCCTCTATTTTTTTCTTATTTTGCTGGTCTGCAGAACATTTAGAACCCTTGTCTATTAGCCTCTAAAAGATGCTTTATAATTTCTTGTTTATATTTTAATGTCTTGATATTTTTGTCTATCGGCCATTTATCTTCAGCACATGAAAGAATTCACATTAAATAGTTTTTCTTAAAATAACATTCTTTATGGAACACATATTTTAGATATTTTTCTCTGAGAGCTTTTTGGCACTGTCTTTTAAGTTCGGTGCATCGTTTACCAGACAAGAAATGAGACACTCATGACTGCAAACATTCCTTTAATTATTTATTGTTACCTTGTTCTTTTAATCAAATTGCTATGATTTTTCTTTTATATTTCCGGAATCACCTCCAATCCAGAAGAAATTCTGAAACAGAAGCATTTTTTGCTGTGGTGGAATGTTGTTCATACTACAAATATGGTTGTTCTGTGAACACTGCAACATGTATTTGCCTTTCTTTTACATAGAAGGGAGTTGTCGATGAGTTACAGATCTTTTCCTGAGCTCACTGCTTTGTATGGAGAGAATGACAGGTTTTCATATCAAAGGTTGAAGAATCAAGTTCATTTTTCCTTTTGAGAAGCCAGCATAATTCTGAAACCTTTTCTTAACCAGTTTAAGCTCCTTTTTGTAGCATTTTGAAGGGCCCCGGTTGGCTAAAGATAAAGGGATTCATCCTTCCTTTATTACATATAAAGGAATGCTACAAAGTTAGATATTTAATTTTGCTGGTTATTAGTTGGCTTAAATTCCTCTTTTTTTTTGCAAAAAATAATGACCTCAACCTGTATGGCAAAGCTGAAGGTTTGAAAGTGCCATATCTGCCTTGCCACTATGCATAAGGCCTTCTCTAACTAGAACAACCTGAAATGGAAATAAACACATAAAACAAAATATTCCTTGTGTTTGCAAGGGTCTTAATATTCTTAGTCTGAAGAAATTAACCCAAAATTCCTTTCTTCTAGATGAGCACTATTAATCTGAGTAATTACATAAAGTGCGGGCAGTGACAGGAAGTATGATTGCTGCAGCTTGTTTTAGGGATATATATCCTTGCTTCAGGAATATAAATCCTACAAACTGGAGAGAAAAGACACAATTTTAGATGCCTCCGTGTCTCAAGATTGGGTTATAATGACACTTAGACAAGAGCTAAGCACCTACTCCTTAGACCAAGGCACATCTGCACCTACACTTGGATGACTCTGCATCACTGGAGTCCCATCACAAGAGAAGGCAATGTTATGCAGCAGAATAACTCAAAATCTAAGAGTCCCGTCTTAAAAGCAAAACGGATCAGTCAATTGCTCTTCAGTTTTCCATCTCTAAAACCCAGAAGAACAACTCTTCTCCATACCCAAAAGAGGTGCTGGAAAATACCTTGGGTTTTCCTCTTTGTTTTCCTCAGAGTTTCACTGCATATAAAAACTGACAGTGGGCTCTTACGACAGAGATTAAATTTCTTTGTAGAAAATAAGAAACTTGTCAAATTTACAGTAATAGCAGACACGTGCAGATGATTTAATATATTTTTCATTCATCTGTTGAGAAATTGTCATGGAAAATGCTTTAAATCTACTAGAAATATTCTAAATGCATATTCTCAAGCAAATTGTGACTGCAGTAATAAATGTATTACCTCAAAAGGATAATTTGATCCTTCTGGATGGATAATGTACAGACCACTTGGAGTTTTTGAAATGGAACCAACAGTATCTTTAATATGAGTGCAGTCCAAACCTAGAGACAAAAGTTATTCAATGGAGTTCATTAGAAAAATATGTTTAAAAAAAATACAGATTAATATAGGAATATTACTTTTCTTGGTGAAATGAATTATTTAAAATATAATTTTCTTCTCATGCAAACTTCAAAATCAGGCTTTGTCATGAATTTACCTTGTAAATTAAAATTCTCTAAACACCATTCAGTTTCTAAGTACAAATGACACTGTACAGACAAAGTTCTTTCTAATCTTAATAGACATGATACATACCTACGCAAAATTAAAGATTATGTATCTGGGTCAATTTACAGATTATTTTTTCATTTTATTTATAACACCTGTACTGTCAAAAAGACATTATCTGGGAAATGAAATATTTTTCCTACAGATACTTGTATTTATACTTGTAAAAGCCTTTCCATCATAAAGTATATGTGGAAAACATTCCATATGAATAAGGATACTCTAGATGCAGAGCACACTTTATTTCACTGCAAAAGAATGTGCCATTCAGCAGCCTCAGATCACTTACTAGCTGATAATCATTCTTGGTATTTTACATAAAAATCAGCATGCTTAACAGGATGTCCAGAGTTATCAGCTGCAAATTATTTTAAGCAGTATTTATGATAACACTTTTAAATAGTTTCTTAAGTTTCCAAAGTTTATATGTTACTAACACAGGATAAATGTCAATGTTACAATTGCTTGCCTTTGCTTTAATTAGCTCCTTTTCAAGATACAAAGATAAAAAGGGAGGGTGTCAAGACTACATCTGAAAAGTACTTACCATGAGATTGAACTGCTTTGTAAGGAAGTGGATCTAACTGTTTTCTCAAAATTACTGTGTTCAAAAGAACAATTTTGTTCATGAGTTCATTCACCTGCAAATTCAAATAAAAGATCTCTAATTAGGTTGCAATGAGAAATTTTGCATCCTAAAGATTTTTTCTGAATCCCAGTAAACATAACCTGAAGTTAACTTTTGTGATGTGTAGCAATTTGTACCAATGTGAAGAAATGGTCCTCCACTTACCCAACTGCAATGTGTGACACTAAATTGTAAAGCAGGGTGCCTACCACTCCTCACAGAAATGGAACTCACACCCTACCAAAGGTACAAGGACTGGTGATAAAACACTCTAATCCTACTGGTTTAATGGCAATTTAATGAACCCTATTTTTCCTCAGAAAGACAACACCTGCTGTGAGAAATAACAAATGCAAATCTTTATAATAAAGAAAAAAAGTACCTGATTAGAAAGGTAATCCAGTGAAGACTGTTGATCATCCATCATGTCTCTTACAAGTTTTTTTGTGCTTCTGGCATATTCAGCAAGAGAGTTCTGCAAATTTCCTTCAAAAGAAATATGTTCATCCACTTTGTTTTCATAACTCTAGAAATATTCCTGACTAAATGTCAACATTTATTACATCTTAGTGAATACTGAACATGGTTTACCTTACAGCACCTAAAAGTGAAATGAAAGTAATACAGAGGCCACAGATTAAAGCCAAAGGTGCTAAAAAGCTTCAGACTTTTTGACTGCAGTAAAGACAGCTTAAGTGATGGGTCTTCTCATGTTTTGAAGAATTAATCTTATCCTTGGGTAAACTGGACAACCAGATAATGGATATCACAGAAATATAAATGCATATGATAAAAGACAGATATATATATATATATAATTCACTATACTACTCCTGGTTTTTGCCCTGATGCTAAAAATCATCATCACCATCATCAAGGCATATAATTAATACTGTATATTTTTAAATCATATGTGGAAACCAAGAATTTGCACAATTATTTTCAGAGGCTGATTGTAAAATTTGCTGTGCAGTTTGTCAAGGTAGTGAATAGAGAATATCCTGTGTAAACCTCTATAAAAGGTAAGGTGAAGTACACATTTACTCCCATGTAACTCACTAACTAATTAACTACCTCCCACTTATATCCCCCACATCCAGCTATGACCTTTGAATGAGGAACAGACATCCTCCTCTTCCTCTAATTGAGATACTGACATTCAGAGGGTAACAGATCCAGGTGGGTTGTGCAGTTCCTTGGATTTGCCTGTCTTCACCAATGATTATGCTTTGTCACACCAGCTGCATCCCAAAAACAGGACATCCCAAATTTTCTGGACAACACACAGTTTGGGCAGCAGGGTCACAAGGCTGTCACATGCGCTCAAGAAGATTAAAAAATAAATTTGCACAGCATAGCGTAGCAGAGGAGAGGATTGCATAGCATGGCACTGATTAGCTCATCACTCAAAGTATTCTTTATTAATACATACTGCACATGTAATGTTTGTCCCCTTGTAAAATTTTAGCTTGAGCATCACATGGTACAAGGCATTGTTCTTTTTGTTTTGAAATATCTGCAGATTTATTCTCTTCTGCCTGGAGTGGTTCCTCCACAGCTCCACCATTCCTTGTGTCCTGTTGTACCAAACAATGGAAGGGGAAATAAATGGAACAGGAAGGACACATGAAACAGCTCAGTCTGCCAAAATGAAGTAGATTGCTTCACAGGACTTCCTTCAAAACCTGTTATTTAAAAGCTTTATCAAGGGATAATTGACAGAGGTGAGACCAAAACTGATTAGATGTTCTCGGCTTAGCCATATCTCACAAGAAAATAGTAGAGTCAGAGGTAAAGAATAACCTCTATAAATTAAAAAAATACCACCACTATTTCTGGTAAGGTATTCTACTTGTGAACACTGTAAATGGGAGGCAAAAACCTGCAAATCCTGCATTTTAAGAATCACCACACGCAATAGATATCTCAAATGCTAAGGAACTTATTTTCACTGGAAAGGAGTAGGCTTTCCAATTTACCAGGTATTAGCAAAATACTTTTACTCTTGAAAATACCTAAATTCATTATTTAGATGCTGATTGGGGAAATATTTGCATAAGTTTTTAACTTATGCACACAAGCAGTCATGAGAAGATTTGCAAATTAATTCAGCATTAAAAAAATATATATTTTAAATGTTCTTATAGGGGAAAGAATACAGGAACAGTAATCCTGGGCACATAATTATCTGAAATAGTAGCACTAATAGCATTAGTAAAAGTAGTTACACCTATTACTGTTATTTTAAAATTATATTCTCATATTTAATAGTTTTTCTTCCATGGTGCCATATGACATAAAATAAGGGAATGTCTCTGAATAATCACTTAAAATAATTCCTAAAAGTAATTCCCAAAATATGTGTCATTGTCAAAAGATTAAGTAACATGTTTTTGCATGAGTCTCTGTTTGATAATTTCATAATCTCAGCAAATCATTTGTAGTATGTTCATATATTGTGTTTTCAAATGTAAATAGGATCCTTAGAAACATCAAGATTTTAATTAAAAACAAAACTTATTTATACTTGAATACATCTTCAACATAGTTGTTCTTTCCTGCTTCATTTTTCTGATTCTGAAATTGGCATTATACCAGCAAGCACTGAACAGGGTTTTTTCCCCTGATTTTTGCTCTTAAAAAGTGAAAGTAAAAACTACAAAAATCTGTTAACAAAGGAATTTTGCAAAAACAGTTTTCTGAATTACTAGTGTAATTGCATTTAGTGCCTGGAGAATGGTAGAGAAGTAAAAAAAAAATGTTTCTTTAATATTGAAAAAAGCACAAAATAAAGAAAGAAAAATTATGTAAGAGTTATAAACAGATCTCTAGAAACTTATAAATAGAACACTCAAAAGTATGACTTGTTCCAGGGCTATCACAGATACTGACCAGATGTGCAATTAAACACTGTTAAGCAAATATTTTTAATCAATATTTATCTTTAACAAAAGCCAACATGAAACAAGCAATTAAGTCTGATCTCAGCAATTCAAGCAAAAACTGACTCTGCCAAAAACAACAGTAACTCTGCATTTAAAGTCACGCAGATGAGATTAAAAATATGACATAACAACTGAGCTGTGATATTAACACAAAAATGTTCTAATATGCTGAATTCCTACAATTTCAATATAGTTTCTTTTGTCTATCTGAAAATATCTGATTTTTCTCTATTTTCATATCTACCTTGAATAAGACAATCCATATTTTTAAAAGATGTCACTTTTCTGAGAAATCATTCAGTTACATTCCTTACCTTATCTAAACAAAGTAATAGAAAATCTTACCTTAGGTGAACAAGGTTCGCCATTATTTATGACAGTCTCTCCTAAACTGAACAAAAAAATATTAAGACAAATAAATGAAGTGACCCTAAAGTGGTGGTTCATCTTTTACTTGAAGAAATGCAAATGTTTTGATGGGTTTCAAATTTCTGTGGAAAGAATTGTACACTATAAAGGCCTGATCTAACTATTTGGGAATGTCTACAGCACAAAGGGCAGCCAACACATCACTCCTTTACTGCCTGGATTTAATAAACCACATTTCAACTGCACAGTAGATTTTATATATTACTACTTGCATCCTGAGGAAAACTACTGCTTATCACCTCTACATGACACATCAAACATATGTATTTTCATTGTGATAAACTCTGACAAATTTTCTTATATGCTACTTTTGAGCATTTGTGTATATTTGGCATGAGTGTTCTGGGATACTTGAAAGAAAAAGTAGTATTACTTGATGTTTTTAAATTTTTATCAAGTTTTTTATCATTAAAATTTAGGAGTCTGTATTGTTGTGGTGTTAGTGAACTACAACAGGCTGTGGAGGCAATTTTTGAATAGGTCATCAAAGTTCAAAACAGAAAACTGAAAAAACATTATTTTAAATTAGTACTTTGTATTACAGAGAAAATCTTTTACCAGGAGAATAATAGTAGTATTTTGGTGTCACTGGTAGCCCACCCATTGTAACACAAGTACTGAGACTATCATTCTGAATCAACTTGATGAATGAATGATTTTTGTCCCTGAAAAAAGTCAAAGAGAATGGCATGAAAAGAAGAAAATAAAATGTAGTCCACAGAAGCTTAATTAAAACTATGAGGCACTTACAAATTTCACACACTCAGTTCCACTACTTTTTATCTTAAAACTGGATATGATAGTCTAAAAAGAAAAGGTTCAGAAAGGTCCCATGTATTTAGAGAATTTAGACACATTAGAGAATTTAAATTATTTGTGATCTGGCTAAATAAATGAAACCTCAGCTTCCAATGTACAACTGGGAAATATACTGTCTAAAGGATTTTCAGGATACGCTGTTCAATCACACCTTACACTGCTACAAAACAAGACAGTGTTCCAAATTTGTCTTGATAATGTGGTTCATCTTCACCTCTATCTAAAGCTGGAATACACTGGAAATAGCTTTTGCTACGAAGATTTGCTGGGAGAAACCAACATTTGCTGGGAATGGGGAATAATACACTTTTTAATCCAATGTTATATTTTAAAGTTACTAACTAAATGGTACTAAGAACCTGTAACTGAGAGGAGTATATTCAACTGCCTGTGAAATTATGAACAACTTTGGCTCTACTGTATCCCTCAAAATCAAATTTTTAATTTTTTCTAAAGGACCACATGGTACATAATAGTTTTCCAATATGAGACTTACTAGGGTTTAATTAGTGTGTCAGTTGATGCTCTTTCAAGAAGATGTAGGTTGTGATCCTTAGTTCAGCCTCAGGAAGAAGATTTCCATGGCTTTCTATATATCACATTAAGGGCAAATTAACAGTTTTTCTTCTTTCTATGTACATAAATAGGCAGAATGAGAAAGTTCAGGCAGGAATGGTTAAAATAGTCAGAACATTAACTTCTCCCATGCATTTGCCTACACAGGTTGGAGAAAAACTATAGGACATCAGCAGGTTAATCCTTCACTGGAACAAGAAGGAAAGAAAAATGTGTTTTTGCAGCAGCACAGCTATGCTCCAGCCTTCAAGTAAGACTTGTAATAAATTCAGAATACATCCCACAAAGTTTTAATAGCTTATTTTTATACTTCATTGGAATATCCGTGTCCAACCCAAAGTAAAATTTATGAAACTTCTTTCAAACCAGAGCAGGACCTTCCATCCTATTACTACTTAAGAACAGGTTTCTTGCTGCCCCAGAATAATCATGCACTTCTGAATTACATGGCCCTCAGCTTGTCACCTTCTTGTTCCACAGTCTAAAAGATGTGAGGTTACTTATGAGGAGAAATAATCCAATAACCGTAAAGGAGGACTATGAAGACTTAATAAAAAAGTTAACAACAGGAAGACAGAAATATATGTATACACTATACTTAGTTCTGAATCTCAAAAGGTGTCTTAAGGTGAAGCTGCAAGTTGTGTTGTGTTAGATCAAAATTTTCAGTAAACCTAAGGAAGCTCAAATTCTATCGGTGCATGAGCTGACCACAACCTTCAATCTTCCTAGGTGTGACATGGGCCCAAATTCTGCAGTTTCCCAGCCCTGCCTCAGTTCTGGTTCGTGACTCAGTTCTCCATCCTGATAAAGCCTTGTACTGCATCCTAAATGAAACAGTGCATTTTATCAGGCAAACTGCAATTTTACATGTGGAGGGGGCAGAGGGGTGACAAGCACACAGCAGTAAATTGCCAACCACTTTTCCCTCTTCTGCAACACAACAGAGCTCATGGGGAAAAGAAGTGCTAAATTTGGGGTTGTTTTTCTGAACTAGAGATGAAAGACTTCCATTTTAGGGTCATCTTCTCAACTACAATAACAGGAATACTATAAATATTAGACACATTTGGCAACCTGACCACCACTGGTCTTGTCTGTAAAATGGTAACAGCAAAACCCACTTCCCAAACTGTGCTACAAAAATGGGGGAGTGGTCTGTGGAGAAAAGTATTTTACAAATGCAGAGTACTATTTTTACCTTCCTAGTCAAAGACATAGAACAGCTGCACACTGGAAAAAAAAAAATAATAATAAAAAAAAAAAAATCGGTTTAAGCTCAAATACACCAGCCAAGAAATGTCTCGCCAGGAAACCACCAAGGCATTTAGCCTGTTGCTGACAGCTCATCCAAGGCGGGGCAATATCCCAAGACAATACGCCCTGCTTTGCTTAAAGAAAAAAAAAAAAAAAAGTTTTGCAGTCTTAAGAACAAACTGGGGTGGTTTTTTGTTTTCCTTTTTTTTTTTCTTTGTGCAACTGTATTTATAGACTTTTTTATAATTTAATATTCTTAATTTTGTGCATCAACTGATGCACAAAAATCTTTTGGTGGTCGTTGTTGTTATTGCTGTTATTTCTACATCCTGCGGTTAAAAAAAATAAAATAAAAAAAAAGTTTATGGTGTTAACTCCAAGGCTCCGATGGGCTTAAGAGGTACCTGCAGAGCTCCGCACGCGGGGCCGGGGCGGTGTTTGCCTACGAGAACGCGTTCGCTCGGCCCCCGGGTGCGTTTGGGGCTTTTAAAGGTTATCCCGCGGTTTATAGCGCTGCCGAGGATGGAGGCCCAGTGAGAACCAAGCACCGTCCCTGGCGCGGTGTCCGGCACCGCTGTCCCGAACGTGATCGGCCCTCGGCGAGTGCCCGGATTGCTTCCTACTGCCGGCTCTCGCCCTGGCAGGAGTACAGCCAAGACCCTGCCGGGCGAGGCGGGTCCCGGCCCGCCCCGAAGCCAGCGCATGCTGCGCCGGCCCGGCCCTCCTCCCTCAGCGCCGCTCCCTCAGCGCCGCGGCNCCCGCCAAGGCGGGCCGGGGCTGCGTGCGGCCCGTGTGGGGCTGCGGCGGGGCCCGGGCGGCGATGTCCCAGCCTCCGCCCTGCCCCGCGGGCAGAGACCGCCTCGGGGGTGTCTTCAAATTAAAGCTTGTACACTGAGGGGTTTAAACTGCCGTGGGAAAGTTGGCTTCTCAAGCAACTTCGGAGTTATCTTCTTTTCCCTCTTCTAGGAGATTATGCCACTGTGAATAGTGTTTTTCATCCTAACTTGTGGGTTCTTGTGGTTTTGAGTTTTAGTAGTAAGAACTACTGACACAAACTATTGAGATGCACCTGCACAGTTCTACTTAAATAATTACTGGCTTGATGCAGGACTGACCTGGCTGTGGAGAGCTTTTATTTAGTGATGATAATCAATTTCAATGTAAACAACTAATCCTTTAGGATGTGGGGGTGTGTGGGGGGAGGGTGTTTACTATTTAACACTTTCCCTGTCATACCTGCATCCTTATGTTACAGGTTTAGATAACTACACAAAATGTCCCTTCAAAAGAACATAATGAAGGTGGGATTTTTCACCTGGTGGTATCATGAAAGATGAGTGCAAAGCCTCTTCTAAAATCCCTTTAAAAAGTAAAATGCAATTACATTTTTTTCTGGATGAGCATAAAGTTAGTTATGATAGTAAGATACAATTATGAACCTACTCTATATAAGGTCAATCACACAGGCTATTATATCTTTTAATGAGCTGTTCCATCCAGTTTCTATTGTCCTTAACACCGTCTTAGGGATAGCGATTTCATATTTCATTTTGAACAGGATTTACAAGAAGAGCGTCGAACATTGAGAGAGCATCAAAAAATGCATCGGAGCAAGGCAATGAAATACTTGCTGGAGACAAACAGAAGAAGAAGGCAAGTAACTAGGGTTCCTTTAATGGAGGATTGTAAAAAAAAAAAAGAGAGAAAAACAAAGCAAAAAGAGTCAAACCCTTAAGACATTTCAATATATCTCTACTATTTTCCTGTTCACTTTGATAAGTAGCTCACTGCTTTGGCCTAGAGGAATCTAAGCTGAAAAGTTTCACCAATTCAGTTTCTTGCTGTAGGATAAATAAAATATAAAAACAATATTCTGATTTACTCGTTAATTTTTGAAAACTCACTGTAGTCACATCTCATATAAACGAAAGGTAAGTAGCACTTTCATCTTGTGGCTCTGATCTGCATTTCTGGTGTTCTGGGGTTTATTAGCTTCAATGGATGTATGAAAAATGCATTCAGCTGTACAGCGTGGGCCAGCAGAAGGCAGTTGTTGCCTTCAGAAGTGTGTGCTGCTCTGTCTGCATGGCCTAACAGCTGCACAGCCTGCCCTTCATGGCAAGGCTTTGCTCCCACTGCCCAATAAACACAAAGCAACATTTTTATTGTAGAGGATTATACTTATAATAAAGATATTTTGTACTGACATTTTAAACAGAGCTTTGCATAGTCTGTCTTCTGCGTACATGAGAATGCAAAGCCGTGAAATATTCTGTGACAAATGGATTAAATAATTCATGCACTGAAATGTCTCAGTGAAGTGCTCTAAGCAGTTTAATGAGCATAGAGGTCTTTTCCCTCGCACTGAGGTGGTGCTCACACATACAGGGGGCTCAGCTGTGTGCACTGGAGAGACAGATGGGTTCCTCCTTGCAATCCCCCAGCCTCAGACCAGCTTCCTCTGCCTCTTGTTAACTCATTAATACTCATGCCCCACAGTTCCCCTATCAGATGACTTCTGTTGTACAATGTTTACTTATTGGCATATGTTCATAACTCATAAGAGAGGTGATATATATTGTTTATATTGCCTTTTTAGCCTGACAGTATGTGCTATCAACTTATGTTTTGAAATATAAAGAAAAATGGAAGAGGAGATATAATAACCTGTGAGTAATTAAAGACAGAGTGTAACCCACAACCTTTGCAGATAATAAACTGAGTCTCAGTTGAAAAATTAAATACCTAATTTCATTTTCTGGAACAGAACCACTGTAATGCTACACATCTCAGATGAACACTGTTTATTGTATTACTGGCCTTGAAATATTATACTCTAATGTAAAAGCAAATACCAGACAGCCTGCATATTTTTG